TGTAGAAAAGGTAAAATTGTGACATTTAAGAGAAAATAAAGTTTAATTTTTCACCCTGAGAAAAATAAAATCAAGAATAAAAAAGTATTTCTATTTTTCTAACTTTTAAAGAATATTTTCTGTTTATTTCTGTGTAATATTTTTATAATTAATAATTAGTTTTTCAAGAATGTAGAAATACATCATATTTTATTTGAACCTTAACACTACGGACCCATTTCAAATAGGCAAAGCAATACAATTTAGTTAAAGAATTTTCTTCGCGTAGTTTTTTTACTGAGAGTTTCATCACTCGGAATATACGGTATAAAATTTAAATTAAAAACAAAATGGTAAAAGCAAATATTACATAAAGTCTGGCAATAACGACGCGTGTAAAACGGCTAACCAAATTACTCTCAGGTTGTATTCTGGCAGAAATTTCTAAAACGGGAGATGTGTTCTTTAACGGCATTAGTGATTTAATTAAGGAGTTGCCCTTCTAACTAGACTGACTGCTCAGACCCTGGAATAGGATTAACATGCTTCTGAAATTCGAACAAAGTTACTTTCCAGAGCGGGCTGCGGCTTTTATAGGCCTCCGAACGGAACTAGAACTACCGTGACACGAGGAGAATGCATTGTTCGCCGAATATTTCATATTAATTAACATTTAATTGATTATATTTTATTATGACGGAGTTTATTGTTAGTGGAGAAAAGAGGCTTCCGTACTGGACGTAATACTATTTCTAAAGTGATTCTTGGTTTTAATATATAATTATTACCATGTACTAGCAGATATCATTTCTCTTACAATTCTTGTACTATATTCTCTTCACGTATTGCATCGTTGATAATATTGAGAATAAAACACGAACTAATTACTACTAATTGCTAAATACACCTCTTCGTCCGGTTAGCCAGGACTGAGGCAATTAGTTGTCACTTTCCTATTAAAATTTACTTTTTTTGAGGAGTGACAATTAGAAGCTTTTTACATGATAAAAACGCTATGGAAGAATAAGCGCGGCTAGGTTTCTGACGATGGGCGAGAAATTACCCGAAACGTAAAAGAAAAAAGAAAATTATGAAATAAACTATATAATATATATTTTTAGAGTTTCCTAAAAAGAGTTTTATAAATTAAGGTTATTTCAAAAACGACTTGGTTATATATGAAGAGAAAAAGGACAAGATATATTATACTCAACTACAACAAATTTATTTTATGGTTTTCTGACGATGGGCGAGAAATTGCCCGAAACATAGAGGAAAAAATAAACTAACCTTATATAAATTTATTTTGTTTTCCTACAAAGGGTTTTGTAAATTGTAATACTTATTATTATGTTATACAATATTTAAAAACTCACCTGCGGGACTAGGCCTCTTCCCGAAGAAGTATATCTCGCTTTCCTTTTTTAAATTAAAGTTAATTAAAAAATTAACACGATTGTTTGAAATGTCCATTCAACCAACTGAAAAATGGGGCTACGAAAGTGGGTTGACATTATTAAATGGAACTTTTATCGATGATACTAGGTTGAAATCTATGACATACTTGTTTCTTAACGTTTTGTGATTTTGGTTTTCCGTCTGTGCCAAGTATACTTCCAGGTTATTTTTTTAGAGCTATGATAAAAGAATAATCCGTTAGATCGTTGTAAATGAGAATAAATATATAAAAAGTTACATTAAAGAAAAGAAGCTTCAAGTAAAAACAGGATGAATTTTCTTTCTCGCAAACGTCCGGTGTTTCACTTAAAAATGTATAACTCTTCTGGGTTTTATTCAAATTACAACGTATTTACAGCCCTTAGTAGCTTATTTATTTTTCTTTGAGCCTGTATCAAGAAACTCAGATTTTTATTTCATTTCTAGTGCGAAAAACAAAAATCAACGAAACAAAATCCTCTCAAACGTTTTGTTTTGTATTTTTAATTTTAATTTATTAATGAAGGACAGATTTGTTTTGTTTTATATGGTTCTGACCATAAAACATTTACTATTTATATTTTTTTTATTTTCTTAAAAATTTGAAATCAATTTTTCTCGGTGTTGTAAATGAATACAAAATTTGTTTTTCGCTATAAAATAATTTTAACATATTTTACAAAACCCTAAAAAATCTATGAGCAGGCGAGCACATTAGAGGCATGATGTGTTTATGATCTCTTGGCCATCGTCGTCTAACAACAGTCATTGAAACATGTGCTGAATGAAATAAATAAGAAACATCTCAAAGGACAATAGTAATACTATCAGACTGCCAGGCCACTATAAAAACAAACAAATCCTGCGAGATATACTAAAACCTTGTTTTGAACTAATTAGCACCCTAAGAAATCGGGGATCTTCGGATAGCCTTACGCTTAGGTGGGATTCGAGGTTATGAGGGAATTTTAGGCAACATGGCAGCAAATACAGATGCTAAAAGGAAGCCTCAGGCCAATATATACGCTCAAATTCACTTTTTGGCATAATTTGTAACCTTCTTAAAAACAATTAAAATTTTACAAAACCAGGTGTGAGCCACGCAAAAAGATGTTCCACAAACTAGCCAATGGGGTAATAAAATAAAAATTCTACTCGATAGAATGGAATTAAAAACTTTAATTCCTATATTTATGAGACAAGGTCCAGTTCAATACCAGGAAAATAGCTGACCACCACCAATGGCGATTATGTGTGGCGATTATTGCAGAGACAAAATAATATACTCTAAGCAACTGCCCTGCAATAGTTAGGAGGCTATAGTACGTAGGAAAATTATAAATGATTAACGTAGACCCTGTTCGTTTACCCATATGAAGCATTCTTTGCAATACAAAATAAATTTAAAGTCTTCCATCAATTTCGCAGATATCGACTCAATAGACGAACGTTAAAGTTTTAAAAGGAGCATTTCCTTGGATCCCAATATGAGATATAATCTATGTAAATATATATGTAAAAATATATGTATGAAAATATAATACATAATTTTTGGTAAACTAGGGGCGTAAAAGGAGGTTAAAATATTTTTTTACTCTAAAAATTCCTATTTAGGGGATTTTAGGGTGCTTAAAACAAATCAGAATTGCTTACTAACAATTTATTGACCAACTTTACTTCGCGACCCAGAAGCCCCCTAACGACGGTGTAAACGGTGGCACCGACGTTGGTGAACGGAACACCAGAAACGAAACGGACAACACGACAATGGAGGAAGAATGGAAGTTCGCTCCGTCTAAAAGAAAGAGAGAACTAACCTGCTCTCCCAAGAACGAGCAAGCTGTGACTCTGGAACCATACGCTCCAATATCACCAACGTCACCAGCGACAAAAAAANAAAAAAAAAAAAAAAAAAAAAAAAAAAAAAAAAAAAAAAAAAAAAAAAAAAAAAAAAAAAAAAAAAAAAAAAAAAACTTTACTCAAAGTGTCTTTACTTTTTGTAACTTATGATCTAATCGCATTTAATACGATGGTGAATTCATTTATTTTATCCTAGGCAGAAACCAACTCTACTGAATATAATAATCTAGAAACAAATGCACAACAATTTATAAAACATTTTGGAAAATTATTTTTTCTTAATTTACTAGGGCCGTTGGAAAGAAGGCGGACACCTGTCTAATGTTTTTCGACCTAGTTTCACCAAAAAGATTTGCTGAAATCACACATCCTCTCTCTCTCTCTGTTCTGTTTTTCATAATTTTGCTGTTAAATATTAGTTAGACCAGACAGACAAAATGTTTTATAAACGAAGACATTATTATTATTATTATTATTATTATTATTATTATTATTATTATTATTATTAATTTTTAAGGGCGTTTTAACGTCTAAGGTCATTTCACGCCCTAACATCCAAAAATAAGCTACATCCCTTTTGAGTGCTATAAAGCTCTGCCTCCAAACACTCAATAAACTAATCTATCTTATTACCATCCAAAGCTTTAATGTAACGATTATTCAGAGATCGTGAGATGCGGTCTGGTGTAGATGTCACTCTCAACACGACACACAAGAATGATACAATTACGCAGAAAACAAACACTTTGATCCCTGGAGATGATCTCAATAAAGATCGAAACGTTGGCACGATAAACAAAATGTTTTTCTAAAACCTACGTCCCACCAGACAGCATCTCTCGATTTTCGAATCATCTTTGATTGACTAACGGTCACTAAAAACCACACACTTCAATTTAACCTTTTAAAATCTTAATTTGGAAGGTCAAATGTATGCAAAAATCCTATTTTAAGAAGATTTATAAGTACCTAATTCTCTTCAAGATTTTTCGCCATATTTTCATTTTAATAGAAAATTTTAATTTTTTGTTGTTGTGATGTGATTCTTTAGATTTAAGGATTGTTTTGATATGCTTAACCGAAAAACCAAGTGAAGTAACAAAAGTTTGTTGAAATTAACTCAGAAATAAATCACATATTATAAAGCTTTCTTAGATTGTAACACTTATTCCGTAGATAAATTTTTATATGATCTTAGGAATGAAAAAAATATAATTTATTAACACGTCAATAAATTGGGTGGTAAATTTTTATATTTTATACTAGTTTAGCGGTGCAGTTGTATTGGAAATGTAGACGTTCTTATTTAATGTTACTAAACGTTTTATAAGTAATTATTTGTTATTATTTTAATCTAAAAATTAGTTACTGGCTTTAATTAACCTTTCAGATATATATATATATTCATATTAGAGAAGACAATTAGTTGGAAAAAGATTTTATCGTTATAATTGAATTTATTTCCTATACGTTATGTTATATCAAGCACAAAATTCCCCATTTGTTTCGTGTAACTTACGTAACTTATGAACTCTGATAGCCGATTGTTGAGTCAGAAGTATATTTGTCACAATCTAACATTTGCACTAGAAATCACGATCTGGACGTGTTGGTATATTTCGGCATAAACTTAGTTATTTAAACAAAAGTTTTTTTTTTAACAAGTGGGTTTAAATTTAATTAAAGCCTTATTTGTGAAGGTTTTTTTAATCATTTTTTTTCAGTCCCTCCAAACATTTTGGACGACCAAAGCACTCCATCATCCGTAGCGGTGAGGGAGAACCAGAATGTCTCGCTGACGTGCAAAGCCGACGGTTTGCCCATCCCAAAGCTCTCATGGAGAAGGGAGGACGGCCAACCCATTACCATCGACAGGAAGACCAAAGGTGAACACTTTTTTTATTGCTTTCACCCCCTCAAACCGCCCTTTTTCATTGACCGCACGTTAGTTTAACCTGCGAGTTGATTAGGGAGCCGAGTAAATGTCCATCCTTGCAGACATGAACCCCCTTGTTTGTTTTAATCCGACCATTACCGCCCACCGGTGTTCTGGCCACAGTGGCTCAATCCAATTTCCCACTGGTTTTTTCCTTTTTTTATTCCATTTTCCTACCATCCTGCCTATGTTTTATGTTTTCATTAATTTTTTGTTTCCTTTCCAACTGGCTTCGTTGAATCGCCAAATTATTTTTTCAGTAATGGCTGTATAGAATATTAACGACGATGACAACTCATAAAATTAATTTTAAAGTTAAATTTTCATTAATGATAGAACATAATTTTTTAGAATTTGGTTTTCCCTAGTGTTGTTTCGACCTTTATTGAGATCATCTTTCGGGCCTGAGATTTATAAACATTGTTTAAATTTTACAAATACATGTAGGATGTGAAAAAATGAATTTATACAATGATAGAAAATTTTAGAAAAAAACTGAATTTCTACAATGTTAGAAAATTTTAAATCCAATCAGAATATTTGTACTTACTCAAAGTGTTTGTTTTCCGTGTAGATGTGTCATTCTTGTCTGTCGTGTTTTTTTCACATCCTACATGTACCTGTATAATTTAAACAATGTTCATAAATCCCAGGCCCTAAAGATGATCTCAATGAAGATCGAAACGATGGCACGATAAAGAAAAACCGAGGGTTCTAAAACCTACGTCACACCAGACCACATCTCACGTTCTGCGAATAATCATTAACTAACGGTCACTAAACATCACACATTTTTAAAATGACAATAACAATTAAAAATGATTGTATTATTTTTAAATGAAAAACCTGTAAGTTTAGCAGAATAATTATCTAATATTCCTTGGAAAGATACAAACCACAATATTTTCTTAAATTTATTAACTTTTCGTATGGTTTTTTTTAAAACCTTTTCCATTTTTGCCTGTTTCTTGCCTTGACCTTAAATTCAATTTTTAATTCATGAAATTATTGTTTCGAATGTAAAGTGTACTCAATTTATTTAAAATTGAATTGCTTATTGAATGCAACGTTTTATGAGCATTAGCACACTTTTAATAAAATTTCATCGTTTATCATTGCCAAATGTATGTATAAAAATGTACTGAACACCATTTTTTGCCTAAAAATGTACATTCTATGTTTAAACCTTACTGTTTAAAACAACATTTGAAATTATTGAAATTATAACAAGGCAAATTTTTAATACCCTTTCTTATTTTTGTAATAGTTTTATTCAATTATTTTTATTTTTGTTTGATTGCAGTTAATATCCAAGAAGGAGAACAACTTAATCTAACTCGTATAACAAGAAACGAGATGGGGGCGTATTTATGCATTGCTTCAAATAGTGTGCCTCCTTCTGTCAGCAAAAGGATAATTCTTGATGTCGAATGTAAGTGGGGACTATTTTCTTTAATCAATAATAAACAATTATCCGGAAATTATTTAAAATAAACTAATTTAGATTAGTTGGGAAATGGTTGTGCTTTTCTTAAACGAGGTTAGTTATAAAAAGAATTAATATTCTAAACTAAAAAATAGCCTATTTGTATTTTGATTGGACAAAAAGTCTTGAGTAGTTTTACAAGTGCAGTTTACAAGTTTTGAAAGGGGAAATCTACTGACGGGTCCAAAACCGACAAGGGTACGGGAGCTGGGGCTTTGGGATACACCGAACTGACGGTAAAACTAGGTAAGTGTGTTTCCAGTCTGAATTCATAGCGATTGAATAATGTGCCAGAGAAATAAAAAGGCTAGGAAGATAGCCATTTTCTCTGACAGCTAGGCATCACTCAGGGCCTTAGCCTCATACAAGGCGAAAGCAGAGAGTGTTTGGAACTGCATGAAGGTCCTGACGGAAGTCAATGACACTAATAACCTGACCATGATAGAGGCAACGAAAATGTTGACATTTTGGCCAAAAAGGGAGCCAATATGGACTCTCTGGGCCCAGAATCCTACTGCGACCTAGCAGCCTGCACAAAAGAGGATACATCTTAAAATGGATCCTTAATGAGTCCAAAACCTGGTGGTTCTGATAGTACTTCTGTTAATTGCAAAACTTGCCTTTTGAAAAGCGATTACTTATTTAATTGCAAAAATATAAAAGCAAATACATTTTTTTGGGATTAACATAAAGTACATTATTGCAGATGTCTTGCTAACATCCATATTTTGGATGGCCCTCCAGGTCTTGGATTGTAAAGGATCAAATGAGGGGGGTACAGTTTTCAGGTTGTTTTTATAAATATAAAAATGAAACTAATATTATTTATAAATTTTTTTTGCAGTTTTCGCACAGGTTGGGAATCACTGCATTAGAGTATAAAAAAATAAAAATCTTTATTTCGTGAATACTAGCAAATGCCACTGTTAACCACACGAAACCACATCAATAACCCTATTTGCTTTAATTGGCTCCTTCAATGTACGTTTAACTTTTAAGTGTTAAAATATCCTGAGTTATTTTTTATTTTCTGTGTTTTTCCTGAAATTTGAATTTCGATAAAGAAAATATATTTAATTTTAATATCTAAATATTGAAATTATATTTATTCATTGTTGATGGAAATAGGTTAGTAAATTATTTTATTTTGTATCACTGCAATACCTCACAAATGTAACTTATTATTCTTGGTTTTTAAAAGGTTAATTATTCAAATATTGTACTTTTAAATATTTTTCAACAAATTAATAGGTTTTAAATTTTGACTATGTTAAATTCTAATAATACAGTATACAAAAAATAAAAAAATAAATAGTGTGTACAGATAATGTTTTTTCTTTGTGTTTATAAATTGTTAAATTTCTACGCTATCCATGTTATTACTTGTCAGGAAATCTTATAGGATATAAAAAGTTTATTGAATTTTTGCTCTCCTTTAAAATGAAAAGGGATGAATATCAAAACCCTCCCCTCTAGTCAGGCTGACGAGTGGAAGCTAATTTAAAAGTTTTTGTTCTACTAGCTGCCAGTCGCAGGTGGCGCGTTACTTCTAAAACAATGCTTGTCCCACTCAGACGAAGCCAAACAAAGTCATTTGAGGTTAAAAAAAATTAAGCTCAGCCCCTTGGTTTTCCAAGAAAAGAGAGATATTAAATTTTTAAAACGGTCTGTCGTAAAATAAACTGATTTATTGGTAGGCAATTTGTGGTAGCTGACTTCAAAGTCGCCGTCTCGATAAATCTCCCTTTTTATTGGCCGGCCTTCCATTGGTGAAATTAATATATAAAATCCTCATACAATTTAAAAAAAGAAAAAACTGTAATGGGTCATTTTGTTGTAACGCTTTCTCATAAGAGAGAATCTCTTGAAAAATATAAATATACGTATAAAAAAAATTTAAAATTAATTTTTGAATTGTTTAATTTACATATAAATATAACAAAATATACTTTTTCACTATTTCAGTCCACAAACATTTTCTTCTATAGTGAGCCATAGTTATCAACTATAAAAGGAACAAATAATTATAATTGAAATAAATTGAAAAAAACATTTTACACACCATTAAATACTGGTTTCAACAGTTCCAAACTTGTGTCTAAAATATAGTTTAGATAAATTTCAAATCGTTTAGTTATCAATTTCATCAATTTTCAATGGTTAATATGGTTTGTACGTCTACTTCTGATTTTTTTATGTTTAAGTTTTTAGTCATCACCAACCCTCTTCTTTCTTTCTTATTCAAACTACTGGTATCAACTAATAACTCGCTAATGTTGTGTCCTTCTTTTACAACTACTAAACAAGAATTTTAAAAACAAAAAATGCCATCCTCATCTGAATACTGCTTTTTTTCTGTCTCTCGTTTTCATCCAGCATCATTTGATTATGATCAATCAAATTAGGACGGAAACCGACTATCTCTTTTCTTTATGTATCTCTCATCTTTATGCTTATCTTATCATATGTATCTCAAGGCAACTTCAAAAGTAGATAAAATAATACAAATATTGTGCATTGTTTTCTCAGAGGTATTTTAACAATCTTTTTGAGTCCACAGCTGTATATTTTTCTTCTTAATTTATATCAATTACTTTTTGCTTTTAACAAACAAATCGTTAATTTTTTTAATCCTTGTATTACATTTTTTACCGTTTTGATTTTATCACTTTCCATATTATTATCTTTTATGAATAGAACACCAGATTTTTTGATAAGTTAGTAAAAATAATCTTTCCCAATTGTCCCAGCGTCATAGTTACAAGCTTAAGTAATTTACAACTTCCTGCCAAAAGATGTAAAGATTTTCATTATCATTGCAAAAATAATGAAGTTATTTTCTACAAGTTTCTACTTTTGCTGTTCCGTTCTCCATTTTATGCCTAACACATTCTCTCTCGTATAGTTTTCTCCAGGTTGTAACCTCTTGGTGGCTTTTAAATATATTTAAAATCATTTCTAATTCTACTTCAATCGAATTCAATACTTTAGTAGATTAGGTTTTTTGTCTCCAATTGCTGGTTATGTTTTATTAAAAAAATATTCAAACTACTGGTATAACTAATAACTCGCTAATGTTGTGTCCTTCTTTTACAACTTCTAAACAAGAATTTTTAAAGCAAAAAATGCCATCCTCATCTGAATACTTTTTATGTAACTGTTGATTTAATGTTATAGTGTGGCTCTGCATTCGTACCCGGCTTACCTACAAATGGGCTTTTTTTCAAAAACTCCGGCACCCCGAGGCTTCATATAACCTCGTAGTTCAAATTCCCTCGTAAAAAATGTTATAGTGATTTCTATAACCTCCTACTTCCATAATGGATATTGTATACTGGCAATTGTTTTAATGCCTAGCAATTCCGTATATAACCTTAAATCATCTAGTAGCACATACCGTACAATTTTATCACTGTATAAAGCCATATTTGTAGAAAGATATTCATAATAATAATCATTTTAATTCCATTCCCCACAATTACGACGTAAACGACTGAAAAGAATATGGATGAGAGACCTCTTAAATGATTCATAACATTTTATTAATTTAAAGCTGCTGCCAATCTTTATAACACCCGTAATGCAATCATAAATCGAAAACCAATTTCCTGGTTGTATGTAATACACGTACAGTTTTAGATAAAAATAATGGAAGTAAAAAAATATCATATTAAGTACATTACGTTCAAGTACAAAACCCACATTGAAAGGCTTGCTTTCTAGTGTTCTGGGTTTAAATTTTATTATTTTCCATTACAATTAAGTGCATTTGGTTAAAGTAAAGAGCGTTAAGCTCGAGTAAGTCTGAATGTCGGAGGGTTTACCAAACCGAAAAAAAAAACCATTCATGTTCAAACGGTTTTACTATCTTCTAAATGATAACGACTTCCGTTCTCATGAATACAAAATCTGGTTAGTAACAAATAGGTTCTATGCGGATTTGTATTATGGTGCTTTTCCCAGTCTTACGCGATTTTAAAGCCTCTTAAAACAAAAGTACTAAAAGGAAGGTAAATAACAGTGAAATTTAAATTATAAATGGTGTAAAAACGTTTAAAGAGTATGATTCTAAATAATACTTATTAAATATAAAAATATTAAATTTGAAGATAACCTGTAAGGATTATTATTATTTTTTTACGAGGATTTCCAAAAGCTGAGGGTATATCAACCCTCGGGGTGCCGGTTTAAAAAAAAAAAGCCCATTTGTAAGTATGTCGGGTTCGAATGCAGCGTCGGGTTCGAATGCAGGGCCGCTGCATTCGAACCCGGGACCTTTACCTTACCGTGATGAGGGCCGTGTCAACGCCTAAACCGTTGCGACCACCGACGCTCCTAATGATTTTAAATGTTATTATTTTAATAACAATTCATTCAGAGTTAATAAAGTGTTCATTTTTAGTTTCACCGATGATTTGGGTACCAAACCAACTGGTGGGCGCCCCGGCAGGGACTGACGTGACGATAGAATGCAACACAGAAGCCTATCCAAAAGCGATAAGCTATTGGGTCTATGAGGGGATCATGCTTCTTCCGACCAAAAAGTACATATCCAACATTCAAGAGAATTCGTACAGGACGTACATGAAGCTCACCGTGCGCAACATAACATCCAAGGATTTCGGGAGCTACAGGTGCATATCGAAGAACTCCCTTGGGGAAACCGAGGGCTCAATCAGACTCTACGGTGAGCACCTTTTGTTTTTCCCGTATTATTTCACTCTCTTGCGTTGAAACAGCGGTGAGCGGGGGAAAAAGGGGAGAAATTGAATGAGATGTGTTTAATTTTCAGAGATCCCATTGCCTTCGGAAGCGCCGAGGACGACGGAAATGGGCAGCAGAGCAGGGAAAGACGGTAAGCATTTGCATTGCTAATGTCCACTCCACTCCACTCCACCCGCTAGAACCCAATGTATTTTAATCGCCAGTCATTGCCTTTCATTTGTACACTGTTCCACCTCCTATCCCATTACGCATAGTTACTGATGAATAAATTAACGGTTAAGATTTTCATTTAACTTAGTTAATTTTCCACACAGTACTATACTTTATAAATATAACAATTTATATGGTATACAGGGTGTCTTTTTCACATGGTCTGATGAATTTCATTTGAACGAATGACGCTATAAAAACATAAAAAATACGTGTTTAATATTTTTTTTCTAATTTCAAATTTTTAGCTTTTTTTGAAAAAAATTATACAGGGTACCTCAGGCCGAGTTCAACTTCAAAATTTCAAATACGACCCCATACATCGACACATAATTAAAAAAAAATTTTTACGCTCAAAACAATCGTGCCATTAAACAACCCTCACCAAAATTGGCAAAAACAGTGCTGCAATTGGAGAGGGCAAAACTCAGAGGAGTGGTGGGACTACTAACCGGTCACTGGTATTTGAGAAAACATCTACACAACATGGGTATATACAGCGATGATCCCATCTGCAGATTATGTAATGAGGAGGAGGACACAGCCACTCATATCATCTTCGAATGCGAAGCAACAGCTCAATGGAGGTTTAACATAACGTACGAAAAAGACTCAGGGAACCAAATTGCAGCAATAACACTCAATGACCTGATACTTCTGAGAAGAAGGATTGAGTCTATTGACTAAACTAGGGAACTGGGAAGGTACAATAAGCCAGAAGGCTGCAGTGCCTGGGGAATACAAGCCCCGCTTCCCTTCCACCATACCATACCATACCACCGTGCCATTGGATTTTAAATTGGTCAAAAATAACAAAGTTGTGGCAGGCAGTGTGAGGAAACGTATTTCGTTTGTTTCGTTGTTAATTTCACTCGTATGTTTCTTACCTAAAGTCAACATTAATTGCCTTTATTGTTTATATTCTGTCATTGTTTGTCAAGCTCGCATTATGAAAGCAAATCTTAATTCATGGAAGTAAATAAATTTTACAATAGTATCTGGTCTTTACATCCAGTATTCCATTCAAAATCATGAACCGAAGAGCAATTTTTCCGATCAAAGGTGAGTTGATATGTACGACTGCATTATTGATAGTAGTGGTATTGCGGGTCGTGCAGTCGATTGTACTCACAAAAATTTCCTGATCGCAATATGAGGAGATACGGATCGGTTGTTGTCCAATCACCATGAAATCAAGTAAGTTCGACGAGTTTTTTTATATTTTACTGTATGTTCACGAAAATTCGAATTTCTCGCTTCGAAATGTTGGAAGGGTTTTAGGTTTTTCAAAAAATAACATCAAAAATGTTACAATTTTAAGCCGTATAGCTCTCATATTGTCTAGGGACTTCGGGACTTTCATTATGACAAGCGTTTAGCGTTCTTTGTGCAAAGGTCGATTTGGGAGGCTGAAGAAAACGTTCGTCAATACAACCTATGGACTGATGAATCCAAGTTCACCTATAATGGCATACTAAACCGTTGGAATTTTCAACGTGGGCAAAGGAAAATTTGAGAATTTCGTAATCTTGTCGTCATAAGATGGTTCACAGGATAAACTTTTGGTGTGGACTTCTCGGAAGTACATTAATTGGGCCTTATTTCTACGAAGATAATTTATATGGTGCTTTGTTCTTCAATTTGTTGAGGGAGGTTTTACCAACATTATTAGATGATGTTCTTCTGCAACAAAAACAAAGAATGATCTCCAGCTTGATGGATGCCCCGCACACAATTCTTTGCAGGCGAGACGTTATTTGAATTGTTACTTCCGGGATAGCTGGAAAGGACCTCATGGCTCTTGGCTGGCCTCCTCAGTACCTGATTTAACTCCACTTGATTATTTTCTTTGGGGCCATTTAAAACGCAGTGTCTACGCCAATCATAACCCAACAACCGCAGTTGAAGGACTGCGGCAATGGATAGAAATTAATGTCAATCCATGTCCCCTGACTAAAAATAGACTAAAAAATATTAAACACTTTTTTTATAACATCATTGGTACAAGAGAAATTCAACCTTCTTCTAAAAAGGGCACCCTGTATAAATGTCAGAATTGATTTAAATTACGTATGACAATTTATTATTACTACATAAATAAATAATTAAAACTATAAATAGTAATTTTTTCTTCATACATTGTAATTTTTATAAAAGACATTTTTGAATTTTTCAGCAGAATCTCCTAATTTTATTTGTCTTCAATAACTTTTTTTCACTCACTTTGAAAGGCCTTTATATTTTAAAAAAATCACCACTTCACGAGAAACTCAAAAATTCACGGATTTGTTATAGTGATATTGAAATTTTCCTTGAGATCTCGATAATTTCAATTTATAGTGTAAATGGTTGTTGTTCTTTAAAGTTAGGTTAAAAATAATGAACACAAATATTGATATAAAATTTTTTCTTTTTTGAAACCGTTTCAAATTCTAGCACAGATAGAACATACTTAGTTTTAGAAAAAATAGGCACCATAAACATAAAAGGCCTTTTATAAAAACTCACACGATATATTAATTGTGAAAATACATGCAATTTGGCAAAGCACTTCAGTATTCTATTGTCTAGTTCGTTCCCATAAATAACTTTTATCTATTAATGTGGTGACTGCGAAAAACGAGTGATTCCGACCTGTACTTGCAACACTGGCCGTTCTGGGTTCGAATCCCGGCACAGTTCATAGAATTTTAATTGCTAATAATAAGAAAAAGGCATTGTAAAGTAGTATGACCTCTTAGAACGAGTAAGTCAATATTAAACTTTTCTGTATAACAGAAATTACTTTGATTTTTATTTATTAATAATTTTTATTGTAATAAATATTACTTTTCACTCTAATTTGATAGGTAGGTTAACCTTATAATGTATTGACTTCTTTTGACAGGCCTGTTCAGTTGCACAACTTATCAAAATTTTTTTAAATGAACAAAATTCAAATTATTTTTATTTGACAATTTTTTATTAATGAAAAACTTGCCTTCGCAATTATTACTAATTAACACTATACTTTTTAAAAGGATAGTTCCTAGTCACAGTAAGTTGTTTTGCAACGATCCGGATTTCGAGCCTTTTAGCTCATCATCAGCTGATGTGTCTTTCAACCTGATGATGAGCAAAAAGGTTCGAAATCCGGATGGTTGCAAAACAACTTACTGTGAGTAGGAACTATCCTTTTAAAAAGTATTGAACACCACACTCACTCCATCATTTATCATTTCAATTAACACTATTATTCAACATTTATTGATAGTTTACTCACAGATTTGATAACAAATTGTACAAATCGGTCAAAAAACATTATTCTTCTTTACACGAAAAATGTTTTTAATTTTATGTCGAATAAATCAACGTAACATCATAAGTGCAGCATTTTTGTATGAATTTAATATACTAGGTACTGGGGGAAAAGGTCGAAACAATATTTACTTTTGGACAGATACCTTCAAGAAAAGCAATAACCTGTAACATGTTAAAACTGGTAAAAGTGGAATAATTAATAAAAACGAAAAGAATCGACAAAAGTAAGGAAAACTGGAAAGAAAATGTTTTTGTCCGAATTCATAAATGTGTTCTTCACTAATACTATCCTCTTCAACTAGCTGTAATGTAATTCCAGCAATTTAAACTTCGAAAGCGTACTCGATATGAATTCGGCTCTGGCCCGGGGCGACACGTATTGCTCGTGATAGCGGCACTTCATCATTTGGATTCGAGTTCTCTAAACATGAAAATGACATCAATAACTATGAAAAGGGTCCTTCAATAATTTCATTATTACAAAATAAATATTCAACGTATCTAATTAATACAGGTGTGTCATAAATAGAACTTATATACACATAAAATAGTCACAAATATTTCACCCAAAACATATGACACCACTAGAATAGCACCAAACTTTATTCCCTGAAGATGATCCGAATAAAGGTCGACACGTCGGCAAACCAATAAAAATTGTGTTTTTCTAAACTAGCTCATTCTTTACCGCTCCTCATTAATCCAACAAATTATTTTAATTACTATTAAACAAAATATATAATGTAATGTATTATTATTTAACATAAATTAATTATTCTTTCTATGTAAGGTATTGGTTGAGATAAAAAAGTCAGTATCACGAGCGGGATTCGAACCCACGACCTTCGGCTAAATACGCCGCTACTCTACCACTTGAGCTATCGTGACTTCGATTCTCTCGAACACAACTCTCCATCTCAACCTACCACCGTTCAAATTTTCCCTCTTTTTGCCATTTTCAAAAGTCGTGTAATCGGGTTGGATTCTCAGCGACTTATGAAGTGGCTGCGTGGAGCTATTTCGTGAAGTGATACTTCTTTTACTTTTTAAATCAATTTACGTTTTCGCGGTCAATTGACCACGTTACTTCTTTCAATCAATCAATTATTCTTTCTATGTAAAATGGCAAAAAGAGGGAAAATTCGAACGTTTGTAAGTTGAGATGGAGGGTGTCCGAGAGGATCGAAATCACGATAGCTTAATTAGTTGAGTAGCGGCGTATTTAGCCGAAGATCGTGGGTTCGAATCCCTCTAGTGACCTTGAATTTTTTTTATCTCAACCAAGACCTTACATAGAAAGGATAATTAATTGATTGAAAGAACTAACTTGGTCAATTACCCACGAAAACGTAAATGGATTTAACATAAGTCTAAATCCATAAAGTAAATAGTTATTCAGGTGTTATTGAAAAAAATATACTGAATCTAAAACAAAAAACATTTTTAAAAAATGATGTACGACTAAATTATGTTACGGAAGTATTTTGTGGTCAACATCATTCGGAATGCTCCCAAACCTTTCAACCCCTTCTCAGACGCACCAGTCCGTGATGTCCAAAGTCCTTGAAAGACTCTTTTTAAAATTTTTAATAACCATCCTCGATTAACATACAATTACTC